CAGGTTTATGATTTTTTCAGTACTATAAATAAGATTGCAGTAAGCACAGAGGTCCTTATTTTAGAAATCTCTGAGCATATTACTGATTATTTTCCTAGGATAAAATTTCTAGTAGGAGAATTACCGTGCTAAATGGTGTAAACATTTTAGATTCCTGATGTATGTATTTCTGGCAGCACATCTTTTGCTCAGTACCTGCTGACCTCCACAGTCTGACTGAAGCCTTGGGATCTATACGTAGCAATTCTAGCATTTAACAAATGCCCTAGCAAACTCAACCTCTTGCTTTTAAAAATCAGATTTCACTTCTCTTTGTTTTCTTTTGCTCCACAGCCAAGTCTCATGGATCCTTCAAGAATTCTTTGACCGTCACCATTCTTGACATTACTAAAACCCTATTCCAGGCCCAAATTGTTGCTGCCTTCCTAACCAGTCCTGTCTTTACTTTCTCTCATCCACCTACATGAACCCTCTACTTCAGTGAAATTGAACACTTTTTGTCTCTCAAACATGTTGTATGTATTCCTCTCTCAGGGCCTGTCTTTATCCTCCTCTGCCTGGTATGTCTTTCCTCATGTGTCCCCTCTCTTTGCCTGAGCCTTTCCAATTCTACTCCTGTTTTTCTTTTTGAGTGGCCTCTCTTAATTGGTCCACAGTGCTCACTTCCCTGCTGACTACTGTTCATAGATTTAGGCCTGAGCTGTGAGGCTGCGTGATTACTTAACTTACAGAGTCTTCATTTCATCATATGAAATACTGGGAACAAATATAATCTTTAAAGTCCATTCTGATGTACAACTTCTAAGATTTTTAATGAAGACTTGAAAACTTTTTGGAGAAGGAAAGGAGGGAAGATTAATTACGGAAATAATGATGTCATATCGTTCAAAGAGTAATACTTAGTATATTTCTAAAAATAATTAGTGCTTCCCCAATGAAGGAAATTTAAAAGAAATGATATGACTATAGAAATTTAAAAGTAGCATAATCAAAAAGATACAAGGAAACAGTAGAATGATAGATAAAGAGTTAATGTTTTAAAGCATAAAGTGCTTATAAAATCAGCATGTGACAGTCAGGCAAGTGATGTAAATGAGTGAATCAGGCCCATGCTGTAGACTTGTGTGAGTAGCAATGTTGTTGGACTCAGGAGCGGATACCCTTTTGAAGGAAGCAGCTGCTGCTCAGCTCCATCTTATTGTTTCCATGCAAGATTATGGGCCTGGTATTTCTAGATCTGATTGTTGTTTTCAAGAGAAGCCAGAAATCCAGATTTTAATATGAAATCTGCTAATTTTTGTAAGTTGCCTTTTTTTTTTTTTTTTTTTTACGGTGGTTCACTCTTATTTGCCTTTTTTTTTTTTTTTTTTTTAGCACCATGTGAACCAAAACAATATATCTGAGAGCTAGATTTGGCTCTCAGATTGCCAGTGTGTTACCTATCTTATACAACTGGAGAAGACCACTAAGATCCCAAAAGCAAAATTAGCCAGGGGCATAAATATACCAATGTCCTCAAGAACTATTAATAGAACTAGAAAATATGAAGAGTTTCAGTCTCACTGGTGATTAAGGAAATGTAAATTAAAATAAAATACTATTTTATACCTCTCAAACTAGAAAATAAAGCAGCATAGTCTGAGTTATAGGGTAGCAGGTATAATGATTTATTTTAAATTTATGGCGAGCAACTACATCATCATCAACTGTGAACATTAATGTGGATAATTTTGAAATAGATGGAAATAATTGCTACATTAGGGTAATAATATAAATGAAACTAGTATAAATAAAAACAATATTTACTATTTTTAAAGGTATTTAATAATTGAAAAATAGACTCTTCAAGGACTACTTGTAAAAATCGCAGGACCTTAAAAATGCATTTGCTTTTTCTATTACTTCAGAAATTATAATTGTATGCATTTTTTTATGCCTTTATAACTAGTGTTATTTGTTCCCAGCCTTCCTTTTTCAGCTTTCATGGTGAGGTTTTAGAGTCATTACCTTGACTTCTGGGACGTTTGGAAATAGGGAATACTGCATTATTTCTGCTCTTTAGAACATTCTATTCTTTTGATCTAGTTTATTGCTTGATAGACCCTGGAAAGCAGAATAATGCTGGCTGCTTGTTTTATAAATTAATCTTTGTTAACAGATTTCTGACATCATCAGCATCACATCATATGTTTCCTTTCAGCGGCATCTGGAGGTAGCAGAAATAGCAGCAGCCCACTGGCGGTAGTGTCTGTGAAGTCTCCAAATCAGAGTCTCCGCCTTGGCTTGTCCAGATTAGCACGAGTTAAACCTTTGCATCCAAATGCCACTAGCAGCTGAGTGTGGTACCAGAGGAATGTTTGGTTGAGAGAATCACAGCTTTCCAAGGGTGTTTATATTTGATTTGTGTTTATAGTTGAGGCAGGTGTTGTAAAATAAAGGAATCCATTACCATGTCCTATAAATGCTCTAGCATTTTATGATTATGTTCCCTGTAAAACTCTTCAAGACTTCAATGAGAAGTTTGTTTATAAGAATTCTCTTCTCATGCCTTTCCTTGTGAAGAGCGTATTCTGTTTTTCTATCAGTTCGACATAGAGGAAGTCCACATCCCATGCTGTTCTTTTCTAGTTACATGATGTGCCTTTCTCGCTTTGTCTAGTTTATAGCACCTTGACTTTAACTGTTCAGTTTCGTCTGGCAGAGGGAAACATTCTCGTTTCTCTCCGAAGACATTTCTGAAATCTTATAAGCTGCTTAAGCTACATTATCAGTTTTATTGCAAAGATGTTTTGTATTTTAGCCAAATCTTTTTATAGTACAAACTCGGAATTATTTTACACACTAAAATGGTTGCAGTTTTATGGCATGTGTCTCCTGGTTAGATGGTTATTCTCTAGAAAATAGAATTTAAAGACATTTTATGAAATCTTAATTGTCAAAACCTTTAATGGAAATATTTTGAAATGCTCTTTTTCTTGATACCACTCATCCACCTGTTCCTGATTGTCCACATTTCATGATAAAATGAGAGCTCTGCAGAGAATGTTAGCCTTTTTGTTGTAAATATAATATTCAAGTAGTCACTTTTTGTTAAGTTCTTTAGAAAGTAGTTGTCAAGTACTTAGTCATCCCTGTTGTGATATTAGATAATACTGCTTTTCAGGAAGCTTAGATCTGAATTTACTTTGAAAAACAATTGTAATGAATAGTTTATATTTACATTGAGAATTTCAACTAGCTTCTGATCAATTTTTAATAAAAAATTTTCAAATCATGTTAACTGTTAAAAAATGTATAATACTTAACTCAGTTTTCCTTGGTTTATGGAAATATCTGTGTTAATGTGAAAATAATTAATTTAGAATTGTGATTAAAGTGAGCATTTGTCTATTGCTGTTGTACACTTTTTGTATCTACTGTATATTTTTATAGTGTCATATACCAGCACCCTAACCTGCCCCACCTGTCCCCTTTTTAAAAACATATTTTTCAGTTACATAGCATTGAGGTTCTCTACTTGGTGTAGATCAACAATAAACATAAGAGCCTACTCTATATTGGGTACTGATATAATTGATTAGTCATCTGGCACCAGCTTAACAATCTGTTTTTGCCATGTTCTTTATAGTTTATTGGGGGGGGGTTGAAAATTACCTCAAAGTATGTTAAAACCAGCCTGGCTGAAAGCACCGATACCTTTATGTTGCCAAACCCAGTGTACAATTTTCTCATCTAATCTTACATACCCTATTCATTATACTCTGATGAAAACATTTGATTTCCTTGGCTCAGGTGACACATTTCTTTGTCATTTTCTTCCCATCTCCATGCCTCCTCTTCATTATTTTGCAGCTTTCTAATCTGTTGTGTCATCTATACCTACTTGTCTTACAAGTTTCATGTTCTATGCAAACTCCAGTGGTCACTTATGTGACAGTGACTGCCAAGTCAGGATCTTTACCCTACACCTTGCTCTTGACACAAAACCTGTGGATGGTCCACTGACAATTTGATGTAGCAGATCCGTTATTAAATTCAAGTTCTCCTTCTACCCCTGACATCTTCTCTCCTGTGTTTTCTGTTGGTAAGTGAGTGGCGCCACCATCACTGCAGGTGCCAAAGGTGTAATCCGGGGACTGAGTCTTCTCTCGACTTTCACATCCAGTCACCAAGTCTTACTCCATTTCCTAAATTTCTCAAAACTCCTCTTCCATGTGCTCTCCCTTACTCTGAAACATCATCACTCACTATTTCTAACAGGCATCCTTGCCTTGATTCTTCACCTGCTCGGGCTTACCTCCCGCTGTTACTGCCACAGAGGGTTTTCTAAAATAAAGTCAGCATGATCACCCCTCTGCAGCCCGCACACAGCAGCCTTACCCTGGTTGAGTTCATAGGCTACTTCATGTCTGGCTGGCCCCTTCCTGCTGCTTCAATCTTGTCTCTGCCCACGTGCACCTTTGACCCCTGCCCCCCAAACTGGGTGCTGGTGCAACGGTACCAAGCTTTTCCATGGCTCTGTCCTTCAGACTAGGACTTGCTTCCTTTACGTAGACAACTGCTACCTGCCCTTGAAGACTCAAATTCAACCCAGCTCTTTCAGAAAGCTTCATTTGAATGTCTTTTCTGCCTGGACCAGACTGTGTGCTCCTCCAGGTCAACCTACCGTCATTCAATTACAAACTTCCCTTACTTTTCATGCTTTCCTACAATCAGGTGCAGAGTAAGCACTCAAAAAGTGTTCAGCTGATAAATGGATTTTGCCCAGAACTTTTGCTATGTACTTCTTTTCTTTTTTTTTTTTTGAGACGGAGTCTCGCTCTGTCGCCAGGCTGGAGTGCAGTGGCGCAATCTTGGCTCACTGCAACCTCAGCCTCCCGGGTTCAAGCGATTCTCCTGCCTCAGCCTCCCAAGTAGCTGGGACCACAGGCGCGCACCACCACACCCCGCTACTTTTTGTATTTTTAGTAGAGATGGGGTTTCGCAATGTTGACCAGGATGGTCTTGATCTCTTGACCTCGTGATCCACCCGCCTCGGCCTCTCAAAGTGCTGGGATTATAGAAAAAATGTCTAAATAGAGACGGGATGGGGGAGAGGGGGGTCTCACTACGTTGAGCAGTTTGGTCTCGAACTCCAGACCTCACGTGGTCTGCCTGGGCCTCCCAAAGTGCTGGGATTGCAGGTGTAAAACCACCGCGCCCTGCCAGAACTTTTGTGATGTAATTCTGATAACCACGTGCTGTGCTTGAAGAAGGGGAGAGGAGGGAGAATTTCACGTGTCTGGTCTGGGCAACCACCTTTAAGCTCTTTATGCTGAGATTTTGTTCAATTCTTGCCCTATGCTTTAAAGAACTGGGGCAAGAGAATGCGAGTGGGAGGACGAGAAGTATGTTCTTGAGGCTGCTACTCTGCAAGGTGGTTTGGGACCATAGCCTGAGTAAGCCCTTTCAGCTCCGGAGTCACAAAAAGGGCGGAAGCCGTTTCTATAGCGACGGGAGGAGGGCGTGGCCGTCCCTTGCACTCGGCCGGGCTCTCCCAGCCTCCCGCAGCGGCGGGCGGTCCGCGCCATCCTCATGCAGCTCCTCCCGCCGCCTACCCGCACCGGAACAAAGTAAGGGCCGCGGAGGCTGGTACTTCGCGTGCAGTCCAGCGCGAGTACGAGCCAGCTAGGGCCGACTGCGCTCTTTTAGGCCACGAAGCTTCTGGTCGACGGGGTCGTGGGGGAGAATGAAAAGCGTGCGGAATGCAAGAGTAGACTGGGGAGTGTGGGTCAGAGAAAGAGAGAGAGAGGCGGGGGGTGGTGCACAGACAAGGAAAATACAGTTGTAGGTTTTGCGACGACTGCATCCCCGGAATCCAACATCAGTATACTTTTCTGTTAAGATGCTGTTGCATCGCCGACTCCAGCTGAGTGCAGGACAGGGAGCGAGGGGTTCTGAGGAACTCATCAGACCTACCTTGGAACTGTGCTCCCAGCCCTCACTGGGACGCGAGACTTTCTTCCTCCCTTTCTTTCTCTTCTTTGCTGCATGTCCTCTTGTCAGTCATAAGTGGGTCCACGACCACACGCCTCGCGTTGGTGAGGCTCTGGCAGGTATTACTCATATTCCCACCCAGCCCATATGCCTGGGCACCTTTGTGCTCAACCACAGCCCAGCCCCTGACACAAAAGCACCCTAAGGTGTATGTAGATCACACACCCAGAGCTGCCACTCCGAGGAAATTCCCAATATTAGCAAATCTTTCCTTAAAAAAGTGATGAACGATGCACAGTTTGAGGGTTTTTAAAGGCTATTCTGTGACATTTGCTGCATTGGAAATGTCCAGCAGTCCCTCAGAGCTTAGGAAAATTGTGACCCCTCTGACATGTCTTAAGCAACCGACAGCATCATCAATATTAATTCAGGCTTCACTGTCCAGGCTTAAGTGGAGACTTGGCAAAAGCAGGAGGCCGTTTAGTGGAAAAGTTCAAACGGTGGAAACAGCAAATGGAAATGTCCTTTGTCCTGCTTAAGCGATTTAATCACCTACATGTGGTCGGTATGTAAAACCTAGGAGTTCTAAGAAATTCTTCAAACATGGGCTCTACCTGATTGGTTCCGTTACTTAAATCTGTTGTTTCTCTTGTTAGTTTTGGTCCTTATGGAGAAAGCAGAGGTAAACCAGAAGAGACTCTCTAGCAGTCTGTCAGCCACTCTCCCCTGACTTTGCCCTCTCCAATTCCACATATTGTTGCCTACAATTTGACTAGAATGCCTAGTTCTCAAGCGTGTGGAGGACCCAGTTCTGGGAGTTAGTGGTTTTAGCTGGTTCTGAGCCCATCGTGAGTGTGCTGTGATGGCTCCCAAAAGAGCAAATGCTGGTGGAGGCTGCATTAATAGAAAGGCATGAGCACGTCAGGACATGGTCTTGCTGCCTGACTTCGCAACAAGTAGAACATAATCCGGACTCTAGAAACTGTAGCTACTTTGAGATCATAACAAACTAGAAAATAGGAACAACCACAAGGCAGGCTCTCTCTGTCAGGCCTGGATGTGCCATCACATGAAGACAGGTTTGAAAAAACCTCACAGAATGCCTGGAGATGAGGAGGTGCAGGGGAGAGAAAGCTTTTCTCTACTCAGCTTTTGAACATTCAAGAACTCTTGGGTAGAAAAGAGACAGATTTGTTCCTTGGTACTCTGCAGAGGATACCAAGGATCAGTGGAGGAAATTTTGCTCAATACAGTTTATTCTTCCAAGAAATACCAAGCACCAACCATCTGTAAATTAACAGTTGAGTGTGAAATGGGTTGCCTAGAAAAACAGTGCACTCGGTCATAGAAATATTCCAGTATAGACAGAGTGATTGTCAGGAATACCATAGAAAGAAGATTCTTTCCCTGTGTGGGAAAATGGATGAAATGGTCTCCAAAACCTCTTCTAGCTCTTTAGAGTCTGGGAGTCCGTGAACCCTCAAAAGTTTCAGGGATATATGCAGAGGGTCCAAGGAATTCTCTTTGGCAGAAATGAGTGTGACTTAAAATACAGTCAGATCAAAGAAAAAGACCTAGTGTTCAATAAATCAGTAGAATGAAAATAGTAAACAATAATCTATTGTATATTTCAAAACAGCTAGTAGTGAATAATTTGAAGCCCTGACTTGATTATATATTATATAAATATAAATATATACATCTATTATGTATCAATTAAAAAATGAATGTAACTTAAGTTCATTAAAAACATTATCACCTGTTCACAGAATGCAAACGGAATCCCTGCAAACCCTACACTGCCACACTTTCTGCCCCAAAGACAGCCCCCAGGGCGTAAAGATCAAGCAACTGGCAATTGCAGTAGAAATACTAAAATCGTAACAGGTAAATCTCAAAAGACTTGTTTCCTTTCTGGATACTGAAGTACTCTACACATAGATAATGTATGTGTATTAATATAAAATACTATGCAGTGCAGTAAGGCTGGCACCTCTGTGAATCTGTCTTGCCCTTGAGACTTTGAACTCCTTGAAAACAAGGATTCTGTTTTATTTATGTCTGAATCCTCCATGCTTAGCACAGTAGCTGGCACGCAGTTGATGCTCTGGAATTTTTTGATGAATTAATCTATTTTAGATTTCTCTTCCTTCAGCAAATTTGTACCAAGTTTTCAATAGACAAGTCACTGTCCTTATCCCAAAAGGAATTTTTAAAAAATGCAGGCTCACCATCTGTGTCCCCGAAAGATTAACAATCAATATGAGACAAAAAATATATACACCTAAGATAATTAAGTTACGCGAAAGCTCTTGACCAAGTAAAAAAAATGAACTTCTAGGCAAACGCACCACTGAACACTCAAGGAAAGAGAAGAAGGGGAAGGGGAACTCTGATCCGCATGTAAGATGGAAATGAGGATGGCCAAACTTTTGGTTTCAGTTCTCAAAGGAACATTCACTCTAGTTCTGAGCTGAGTTTATTGGTTATCTTCAATCCTTCGTGTAACAAGATACAAACGAAATATAAAAAGCATTTTAATTCTTTTCCACATAGTTCACCACATAGTTTGAGGATAAAAAGGTAGCATTTGCAAAGGTTTGAGCAAGGGTTAAGTTGTACTGTTGGAAGCCAGAGTTCATGCATAAAATAAGAAAGGCACAAATTAGTCTTTAATAATCACAGAATTATCTAAGGGATGGCAAAGTTGGAATAAGTCACAACAGATTTTTTTTTTTTTTTAGTCTGTCAGCATTTTTGTAGAATTAAAGAAATTTAGACCCTAAAGGGACTTTAGAAGTCATCTGGTCCAGTCTCATCATTTTGCAGGTGAGGAAACTGAGCACAGAGAGGACAAACGGCTCATTCAAAATCATGGCACTGTGTGTAAGGTGGCATTGAGACAAGACTCCACGATTCCTCAGCATTTCCTTCAGTGTTTGCTCCTTCTCTACCTCCAGAGCTGTCAGAGCTGAACAGAGGAAAGGGCTCCAGTTGTTTGGAAGATTTCACATTTACCTTTTTTTTTTTAAGATGGAGTTTTGCTCTGTTGACCAGGCTGGAGTGCAGTGGCGCGATCTCGGCTCACTGCAACCTCTGCCTCCTGGGTTCAAGAGATTCTCCTGCCTCAGCCTACCGAGTAGCTGGGATTATAGGCATGAGCCACCGCGCACAGCTAACTTTTTTTGTATTTTTAGTAGAGATGGAGTTTCACCGTGTTGGCCAGGCTGGTCTCGAATTCCTGACCTCAGATGATCCACCTGCCACGGCCTCCCAAAGTGCTGGGATTACAGGCGTGAGCCACCATGCCTATCCCACATGTACTTTCATAGTCACCTACATCTCTGTGAAGTAAAGGAAGGCAACACTCGATGCAGAGTCTTGGCAGGAAAAATTGTTGTATTCGTTTTTGCCCAAAGTTGAGATTTTACAAATTCTATGTCCAGTTGGTGGCCAAAATTTCACCTGTTCTGTCTCCCAGGTCTTTCCCAAGTTCATACTTCTATCCTCACTGTCATTGCCTTGGTTGAGACTCTCATTCCCTCTTACCTAGACACCCAAAATGCCTTCCTAGTTCCTCCAAATCGTGCTTCATGATATTGCCAGAGAGATGGTACCAGAATACACATCTGATCTGCAGCCCAGGCTTAGCATAGCCACGTAGGTTCCAAGACTCCAACTTGGACTATGTGACCCTTTACAACCTCATCTACCTCCCTGGCCCTCCACCAGCAATGTCCAAGGACAGTGCTCAAAATTTCTGGAAAAGACAATGTTCTTTCGCATTTATGTTATTTGTGTGTCCTCCTCCATCTGCCCTTGACACTCCCGCCTGCCCTGCTCATTCTTCAGAGATGGTTCTACCCTGCTCAAGCGTGAAGGCTTCCTCAGCTCCCCCAGCCGACTTAGTCAACACCTGCAAGCATGCTCTGGGAGCTGGTTGCACAAGCCTGTATTAATACATTGATCACATGCATTGTCATGATCTACTTTCTTCTGTGTACCTCCTTTCCTGGATAAGGAGTTCTCTTTGAGGGCAGAGACCATGTCTGGTTTATCAGTGAAATTGTCTCAGCAAATGTTTATAGAAAGAAAGGAGAGAAGGAAGAAGTGAAACTATGATCATAAGCAGAGAAGTTACTGGTAATTTTTGTTTGCTTTTGTGCAGAATTTTTTCATATTGTATGTATGTGTGTGTATATTATAGTTAATGTTCCCACTTACCTCCCCCAGCCCTACTTCTTAGAGGTCACTATTATAGTTCACTTCTTCCAGATCTTTCAATACGCCTGTATAAAGACATGCAAGCATTTTGTTTTTTGTTAAATAAATATAGGATTCTATTACACACATGTTCTACTGTTTTTGCTCAATACATTATGGGCACATATAAAGATCTACCTTATTTTTTAAATGACTGCATTGTATTTCATAAAACATATGTGTGCCATGATTTTTTAACTTCCCCTTATGGACAAGTTCTGATTTTTTAATAGTTATGCCACAATACCTGGTAGCATGACTTTGTGTTAATCCTCTGAATACTTTCAGAGTTGTGGTGCCATCATCATTTATGTGGCGTCTGCAAGAGCCTGCCAGGGGAGTGATTTGCAGAATCTGTGTTAACATTTGCTTTGGTTCCTGTTCTGCCCCTGTTTCCTGTATTCTCGATTCCCTTGGCTCTTGGCTAAGGTTAGAAGCTGAAAAGGGACTTGCAGAGGACACAGAGTGAGCAGTTTCAGCAGGTGCTCTGCTAATGTAACAGGGAATGTGAGTGTCCTGAGACCCCTCTAAGACTCACCTTCCACTTATAGAAATTATTGCTTACACTAGATTCCATGAATGTGTGCAAGGTTTTTTTCTGTTTTGCAGTAAGTTAATTATTAACAGAACTGTGCTCTGAATGAAAAAGATGCAAACATGGCCAAATGAGAGTTAGAGGAAGTGTTTCTACCAATTGTCCCCCTTTTCTTTTTCTATAGGCATTAAACTGTCTAAGTAGCCCACGAATATGCCCATCTTGTAGGGGGATATTGTGTTTGTGGCAGAAGCATGAGGTTTACTTTCCAGTGAAGTAGGGGAAATGGTTTTTTCCGGCTTGGTTGTCTAAACTGCTAATCACTGGATTATCTCTTCCTGCTTCCCTGGCTTCTGTCTCTTGCTCTGACCTCCTGACCTCACGTGACCATCAGAAGGAAGCAAGGGAGAAAGAGGGACCCTGCTCCTGCTTTTAAGCCTGTTGCCTTCTCTTCTTCAAACCTGCCTGCTTTCTTCTGTCCCTGAGTGTGTGGGCCATTACTTAGATTTGACTCCTCCTGCCAATTTCTTTTTTACTTTTCCTCTTGCAGGACTCAAATGGATGCTAAAAAGCCAAGGAAATGCGACTTGACTCCCTTCCTGGTTTTGAAAGCAAGAAAGAAACAAAAGCTCACCTCTGCGAAGGTAAAGATCCTTGAATTTTCACTGGGGAAGAGAGGTATCATCGTGAGGACCTAGGGACTCAGGGCCCAGTGCTGATGGGTGTGCCCCAAGCACCTCTGGGGACAGTGCAAAGGGAAAGGTGTGGAGGATCACGCTGATTGGCAGGGCCAAATCTGGGTGGGTGTGGAGGGAAAATCAGCAGACGGGCAAGGCCTTCCTCTAACAGGTGAGCTGTATTTGAGAAGACCCTAGGTGAGTGCATACATGGTATCTTTCATTCTACTCTATATATGTGGGATCCTACTGGAAGTGTCCTGGAATAGTTCAAGAACACTTCCAGAAAAGATCTGCTTTTTTCTTTTTTTTTTTTTTTTCCCTTTGAGACGGAGTTTCCCTCTTGTTGCCCAAGCTGGAGTGAAATGGTACGATCTCGGCTCACTGCAACCTCCGCCTCCTGGGTTCAAGCGATTCTCCTGCCTCAGCCTCCCAAGTAGCTGGGATTACAAGCATGCACCACCACGCCTGGCTACTTTTTGTATTTTTAGTAGAGACAGGGTTTCTTCATGTTGGTCAGGCTGGTCTCAAACTCCCGACCTCAGGTGATCCACCTGTCTCGGCCTCCCAAAGTGCTGGGATTACAGGCGTGAGCCACCATGCCCGGCCAAGATCTGCTTTTTTTCTAATACAGACATGGTGTCTTTCCTTTCACTCTACCTCGAAAACTAGTAAAATGCCACTGCATTGAAGTTAAAATTGTGATGGGATGACTTTGTGATAACCATCTATGGGATCAACTTCTAAATCAGGTGTATTTTAAAAATCTAATACCACTCAGTTTGCATTTCTTAGTGTGTTCAAAAGATCATATTGTTTGGGGTCTTTGTCCTGAAAGTTTTGCACCAAACTTCAGCCCAAAGCATTCAGGTTTGTTCTGAATCCTGCCTGCATCACTGATTGGGAGAACTGGAGTTCAGCAGCCTAACCCAAGGCCTAGCAAAAATGGTCCTCCTGTAAATCACATACACTTCCTTAAAATTATGACTTTAGGTTTCCTCTTCCAAGCGCTGTTCCTGATTTAACTCTAGTGTTGTCCCCCTTGGGATTATAACTCATACAAATGGGCCCTAACGCAGAGTCCTTTGCTCCACCCCGCTACCCGTGCCATTACCACATATAACAAAACACATTTATTTTGCAATTTATAGGTGCAATTTTTAATACCTAAAACAAATTTATTTTGATAAAATAAAAATTACTGTAAAATATTTGAAATAATAAATCTCCAGCAAAACATGGTAATATAATAAAGATGGCATTCTTTTCAAATGTTAAAATATGATGCAAACAGAACAATCTTGGTTATGATTTTATTTTAGCAAAATCATCATGAGGTTTGCAACTTGCACATTCATTTATTTATTTATTTATTTGTTTGTTTGTTTGTTTGTTTAGAGACAGAGCCTCGCTCTGTTGCCCAGGCTGGAGTGCAGTGGCATGACCTGGGCTCACTGCAAGCTCGGCCTCCCAGGTTCACGCCATTCTCCTGCCTCAGCCTCCCGAGTAGCTGGGACTACAGGCTCCCGCCACCACGCCCGGCTAATTTTTTGTATTTTTATTAGAGATGGGGTTTCACCATGTTAGCCAGGATGGTCTCGGTCTCCTGACCTCGTGATCCCCCCGCCTCGGCCTCCCAAAGTGCTGGGATTACAGGCGTGAGCCACCACGCCCCGCCGCAACGTGCACGTTTTTAAGCTGCTTGAGCGCACATTTATTGAGTGCTGAGGTGACTCACACGTGCCTTAGCAGCAAGTGCTATTTTATCCCCAATTTTACAGAGGGGAAAATTGATATACAAGCAAGGCCAATTAGCCCATGGTCATAATGCCAGTGAGTGGAGGACAATTCAAACCCATATTCTTTTTAAATTGTTATTTAAAAATTTTTTGAAAGTAGAGACAGGGTCTCGCTATGTTACCCAGGCTGGTCTCAAATTCCTGGGCTCAAGCCATCCTCCCACTTCAGCCTCCCGAACTGCTGGGATTACAGGTGTGAGTCGCCACACCCGACCAAATCCATATTCTTAACCACTGTCTTCCACGCCTCTCTGTTGCATGATAGCTCTGTTAAATGTTGTCCTGTAAAGTTCCTTACACATTTCAATGACTTTTAAAGAAAGCAAACTCTGTTGCAGTTACAATGACAGGAATTGTCAAAAATAAAGAAAGTCTGGGGCGTGATGATTCACACCTGTAATCTTAGCACGTGGGAGGCTGAGGTAGGAGGATCACTTGAGCCTGGGAGTTTGAGACCAGCCTGGGTAACATAGCAAGACCCCGTCTCTACAAGTAATAATAATGATGATAATAAATTAGCTGGGTGTGGTAGTGCATGCCTGTAGTCCCAGGTGCTTGGGAGCCTGAGGTAGTAGGATCGCTTGAGCCCAGGAGGTTGAGGCTGCAGTGAGCTGTGCTTGCACCAGCCACTGCATCGGCCTGGGCAACAGAAGAAAACCCTGTCTCAAAATAAATAAAATAAGGGCCAGGCGCGGTGGCTCACGCCTGTAATCCCAGCACTTTGGGAGGCCGAGACAGGCGGATCACGAGGTCAGGAGATCGAGACCATTCTGGCTAACACGGTGAAACCCCGTCTCTACTAAAAATACAAAAACATTAGCCAGGCGTGGTGGCGGCACCTGTAGTCCCAGCTACTCGGGAGGCTGAGGCAGGAGAATGGCGTGAACCCGGGAGGCGGAGCTTGCAGTGAGCCGAGATCGCGCCACCGCACTCCAGCCTGGGCGACAGAGCGAGACTCCGTCTCAAAATAAATAAATAAATAAATAAATAAATAGGATAAAAAAATAAAAACGTCACATTCAAAATCGATTTGATTATGTTGTATTTTACAATAATTACTGGCAAATTCACAATGTCATTTAAAAATACTCTTGAAACTTAAAACTACTGTCTTTGTATTGCTAGTTGTTCTGATGGGGCTTAAATAAATGTCTTTTCAACATCTATTGGTTTTCCTCAACGGACTTCTCATCCGGTTGAATTTAATAGGTTTGAGGAAGGAAATGCAAACAATTCAGTAACTGGCTTCTGCACGTGAAGTCTTGGGTTTCAGTGGACAGTTATGATACTAATTGGAGAAAGAAAATGAATTGTATGAATTATAATCCCTTCATCCAAAAAAAAACACTGAAGAAGAGAGAGCTGTGGATCTCACGATGCCTACTGCCCCAAGCAGGTGTTGAGAGGGCAACTTAAATATTTAAATAAATGAATCATAATTTATGTTTTTCACAACATTTAAAATTATAGATTATAAGTATAATATTTATAATAATCAAGTATTCACATATTTTAATATGGATCTTGGTAACATTTCAGCCAAGGGAAATTTTAAAATGTGATTTCACCTGACTTTAAGACAACAGTGTGGCGCTCTCTCTCTAGTAATCTGGAGTTCTTTTCAGAATGCCCTATTCATTGGACTAACACGGGGTAGAACTTTGATGCCAGTGGAGGGCCCCTATCCTTTCTGCTCAGCTGGCAAGGATCAAAGAACTCTCAGGAAAATGCTCCGTGTTGTATTTCTCGTAACTGCCGGCAGGGGGAAAAGAGGCCCTTTGGTCCTCAGTCATCTCACCCAGTAGGCTGGAGGACATCCGGCTTTTCTGCATCTCAGCGTTGCCTCAGCTGGTTTCTGGGACTCAAGGAGCTAGCTGAGCTCCAGGATCACAGGTTAGGCTATACCAGGAAGAGAACCTGGGAGAGAGTCCTAGGGATGGAAGCTGGTAATTTAGGATATTACATTACGATCTCCTCGACAACCACAAGATGCTACAAAGCACATCCAGAATCATACTGAAGACACATTTCTAGTTTCAGCACCGAAAGCACAGGTGCTTTTTCTCTGTTAATTTCTTAGAGCCTTTCAATCATTCCCTTGCTGAATATCACCTCCTGAGAGAAGCTTTCCTTCCCCTCCCTTTCTAATGACAAATCTGTTTGCTTACTCGTTTGTTGTCTCTCCTGCCCTCCAGAACTGCACCGTCCGATATGGTGGCCCTTGGCACATGGCCCCTGGCATGTGTCCTACTGGGGGTGTGCTGTGAGTGTCAGATATGCACCAGATTCCAAACACTTGGTGTGAAAACAATAAATGTCAAATGATGTATTAGTAATTTTTGTAGTTGGGTTTATATTTTGTCATATTGTATCGTCTTTTATTTATATCATATTGATATAAATTTACATTTTATCGTATGCCCTTTAATGCGTCAATAAAGTTGTAAAATAATTTTATATTGTTTATATGTTAAAATAGTATTTTGAATATAATGTGTTAAATAAAACACATTATTAAAATTAATTTCATCTGTTTCTTTTTATCTCTTTAATGTGGCTACCAGAAAATTTAAAACGATACTCATGACTCACATGATGTTTCTATTGGATAGTGCTGGTCTAGAATGGACACTGCACAATGGCAAAGGTTTATTGGACTGGCTCAGTGCCAGCTCCCTAGAACTTAGGTCAGTGCCTCTCACAGACTAGCACTTGATGTGTCCTTGTGGAATAAAAACTAGGAGTGTGTTTATTCATTTGTTTCCTCTACAAATATTTACTGTCGACTCGTTTCAGACATTGTTCTAGGGGCTAGCGATGCAGTGGAGAACAAAACAGGCCACAAAACTCTCATAAAGCTTAAAATTGGGCTTCTTTGTAGGAAGATCAGATGTTTTGATTAAACGCTGAGAATGGTAATGACTCACCTTCATTTTTCCTGGCAGTTAAAGAGTTGGAACTGAATCGACCAGTGGTTCTTAGCCTTGGTTGTATATTGGGAACACCTGGGGAAGTTTTAAACACTACTGAAATCAGAATCTTTAGGGGTCATGGACATTTTTTAAAAAGTTCTTTTCTATCGTGTGGGGACAGGTGTCCATTTCATCACCAGCTGTGAGACCTCAGTTAGGTCATTAAGTCTCTGACGTTTTGCTGTTTGTGAACCTG